ACAAAAACAAAAAAAACAAAAACAAAAACAAAAACAAAAAAATAATAATAAAAATGAGAACTCACATTTTTCACCTCCAAACTTAAGCTAGACATTATCCTCAATGTTTTAAATCTTAAATCTGTATATAAAATGGTGGGAAAGAAAAAGAAGAAAAAGACTTCCATGATATGAGAATTTTTGTTCGTTGGAGAAGTTAGTAAGTTTAGTTTTTGGAACTTCGTTCATTGTAGTGGAATTTGTCTCAACGTGAAGATTGTTGGGTTTGTGACCTAAATTCAATTGAGTTTTTTTTTTTGAAAAATATTGTTTCATTTACTTCGCACGTTTTTTTATATTATTTTCATTTTTAATAATATTATTAGGTTTTGATCTTCCTGATTGATAAGTGTAGTTTCTACACTTATTCGAGATCCTAAATGATGATACTTTACTTTTTTTTTTGGATAAAATACTACCTAATATTGTAGGCAACTCAATATTTGATGAAGAATTTGAGAAAAGAATGTAAAGATAGCAGACAAGGGTTTAATTGTATCAAATACAAAGTTTGGGAACTGGAATGCAAATACTCAAAAGTTACGTCGAACCTCACGATAAAGATTTAAGAGTGTTAGGCATCAATTGGATGAGGAAAGAAGGCAAATGGATGAAATATAGTCCAAGTACTATCACATCAACTTTCAATCGAAAAAAGTTATACTTCGGATTTTCAACCTCAGTTTGAGACCCATTTTTGGCATAAGAAATGTTCGAATTGGAAAATTATATTTTTGAAAGATTTGGAGCCATTTGAGTTATCTTTTGAACGCATTTTGAATCACCTCAATCGGATATTGGAAGAGAAAGATATGACCAAAATACTCAAGGCTGTCTGGTGGGAAAAAAATGTATACCTTGACCGCATAGGTATAATTTCATGCGGCCGCATAGTGCATTCCAGGGCCAAAATTGATGGTTGGATGTCCTTCTATGTGGCCGCTTATAAATGTACTATGCGACCGTATAGTACAAAATTTTTGGCGAGATTTTGTTTCCTTTT